TTAAAAGTCTGCTAACGTTTTCCAGAATGTTCATATAACGAGGAAAAACAAAGCTTCTTAAAGCAAAGTTGACAAAAAATTTTGGGAATTACTGTTTCATGTCCTATTGGAAACGTTAAGAAAACACCATTAAAACACAACACATCACGCAATTATTAAATGCACCTTTTTTTTAGCATCTACCTTCTCACTAGGGCATTCTCTTTTGTATGAAACCTATCTGTTGAATACATTTTAACTTTGCCCCAAATCTCACCAAAGATGTTTGGATGTTCTTTATTGTCATAGATGAGATGTTTGCCAGTCTGCGTAAATCAGACAGAGTTTTGTCATTGCTCAGCTTCGCAGTGAGAGTGACGTTCAGAACTTTGGTGAGGTTCTTTTCCTTCCCACGAAGAACAAAGTTTTCCATCGTGAGTTTGCTGATACCTTGGTCCAACTCTTGCAGTCTTTTTTCCTCCACCGTATGCTCGGGTTGTCCGTACACCAGAAAGAGCACCAGACTCGCAATGATCAAAGACTGGATGAGTGAGGAGAAAAAGAAGCCAATCTTCACGTAGTAACCACAGCTCTTGCCTTTCGACTTGTGCATCTTCTTGGCAGCCAGGCCAAAGTTGGCCTGAGAATAAGCACTTTTGTACATCTCTGCTGAAATGTGACCTTATCAATGAAACCCCAGGTTCATTCACTATGCAATTGTTCTCCTAAAACATCAAAGGCAAAATAAGAAGTGAAATATATTTACCCTGCCAGCTTATATTGTTTCCCTGCACCTCCCATTGCATGACGTGTCCCTGGTCCACCCTATGGTCATGATTCCGGAGGTTAGAACAACATCACGCACTGCTGAAGGGCTGGCCCGAACCTAAACTCTACATTGTTCTAATATGTATGTCCTGCCAAAACAGATCCTTTTGTTTGACAGCATGCTGGCACTTGAGAAAGCACATGGTTGACGGTTTGACTACGTGCTGTTTAAAATAGTCAGTCAGAGATGATTTTAGATCTAGGTAATGTTTATGACATTTTTTAATTACATTAATAGTTCTCAAATTATTATGTAATGAGGCTTCTGATTGACTCGCATTCTGATACACCACATTCCTACATGCTGTCTAAGATTCTTCCTGACGTATGAGGATGTGGTTTGTATATTGTGCCTTACTAAAACATTACCTTTGACCAAAGCATTTCAGTCAACGGCCAGTTTTAGTTTTAAACATAATGTAATTTTGAGTTACTTATGCACCCTAACTTTGTGCTTTTATATATTATTCTAGTTGTTGAGACCCGTTTCTAAACATTGTAGTTATTTTTTCTGAAATATTATATCTAAAAAGCCACATAATATGAATATTATGAAAGTATGTGGCTTTCCTGCCAGGAATTGTTGATGTGCCAATCCGATTCCAAGAGGAAGGAGTAATTCATAGCTGTGTCTCAGAGTGACAAATGGCGAAGGCACTGTCTGGACACTTCTTAGATAAACTACTGAACAAATGAAGGAAATCAGCAATAAACACAGATGCATACACATCTGCTGACATTATCAAGAATTAATCGTCCTGTTTATCTGTTTCTAAAATACGCCTGACGTTAAAATTACCATCATCTAACAAGATTCCCTCACACGCTGTTGTTTTAAATGTTTCCAAATCCCATAAGCTTGGCCAAAGCACACATTACCTCAATAACCTTAAAACATTTGTGCTTGTATTATGTTATTGCACTGACAAGACTGTATATAACAACAAAATGAAAACAAATAAATTTAAACATAATTTAAAAGTGTGATTCAGGTCGTTTGAGCTTTTTTTACACAGTGATTTAGGGATACACCCATACTCCAATATTTGGATGGCATCAGGAATTATTGGTGATTCATGGTTTGATGGTTAGCTACCTAAACTAAACTGCCATTGAGATTGCCATTAGTTAGACTAGACTTCATTTGGATAATCAAAAAACAGTTCGTCTATGTTTTTAGTCAGCATTGTTGGCTTGTTTGGCTTCTTGTTAGTCAGCATTTAAACTTACCTAGTCTGCTGGTAAACTTACAAGTATTTTAACATATACAAGAAATTTACATCAACTTTAAGACCCGTGAACGTAGCATCTGAATCTCACCACTAGAGGGGGATATTTCCATATCACTGTACAACACTAAATCGTTTTGCGAATTTAACAGACTAAAGTAAACTAAAATTAAACTAAATATGTCATTAAAAATAATTAAATAGTAATTAAAAAATATTGAATTGCAAAATAAAATAAAACACTAAAATGAAATATTCCCTAAAATAGAATGAATATATTATTTTATAGCAAAAGAAAATTTTATTTTATCAAAAGAACATTTTATTAAACTTGCTTGATGTTCCAACACTTTTTCAGGGATCAGTAAAGTCAGTAAGTAACAGCTGCAACTCTACCTCACATCCTAATAGAGATCACATTCCTGAACCCAGGGGTCAAAGGTCAAATAAACACCCAGTTTGTGAAATGTATAACACAAGAAAGCACTCTGAGAGCTGTGCTACCCTTTTCTTGTGTGTGCACTCTCTCTCTCTCTCTCTCACACACACACACACACACACACACACACACACACACACACACACACACACACACACACACACACACACACACACACACACACACACACACACACACACACACACACACACACACACTCACATAAAACAATATTGCAAATCCTGATATACATAAAGAGTTGATATACGTACATGAATGATGCAGAATCAGCTTGCTGCTGGTTTCGTTGAGCAACCAGGGTTTTGCTTCTGTTAGCTAAGAATATGATTTCCCAAAAAGAGTTGAGAAGGAAGCAGAGGTTGAGTGAGGGCAGAAAATGAAATGTTTTTCTCTTGACGGTGACCCCTGAATAATTATATGAACTGGTAGCCAAGATCTAAATCTCAAAACAAAAGACAGCTGTCTCCTGGATCAACAACAAGATGTACAGCCTGGATGGCTCTCTCATTGTTTGAAAGTAATACAAAAATAACGTAACGAAATTGTACTTTCCTTTTTATACAGCTGAAAGAAAATATTTGGCTCAACCTGTGAAAGTTCAGCAGCAATTTTTGCTAATTGCATAAGACATTATTATTATACAAAATTATGCATTTCCTACCCTCTGACCTCTTGCTGCAGAAATTATGATTGAATTTAAGCCTGGGTTACCTGGTAACTGCTATTAATACATTTGTACTTTTTAAACCACTTTGAGTGTAAAGAATCTCAAGTCGTTTGAAATGTGTTCCATAAAGTATCCTTTTTAGGTTTTTATTTTTAATTACTACTATCCTACTACTACTATAAAGTATAGTAACACATATTTGTAATTCCATTTGGGATCTGTAGTTATGTCACTTCCAACTAGCATGTATATCAATTTCTTACCAGAATTCAATTTTTTGCAGTCAATTTCTAGTTTTACTACTATCCATATTCATTAGGCCTACTACTAATTTCTAATCAGTGTTGGGTAAGTTACTCTAAAAAAGTAATTAATTACTAGTTACTAATTACCTCTTCAACAGTGTAATTAGATTACTGTACTAATTACTCTCTCTAAAAAGTATTTAATTACTTTTAATTACTAATTACTTTCAAAATCCCATATCAATTTCAACCAGCTGAATAATACAAGGACGTGAATCTTTTTTAATTCTTTCAAATAAATACTATAAAATTGCATGAATTATCCTCAAACTCACCAAGGTGGAGAAGGTTACATTATAAAAACATGTGTTTTAACATCAGACAATACATTTTGATGTTAAACCCATGCACTATTTTTATGTCTGATTTAATTTCACACTTTTTTCATACATATTTTACAATAATTCATACGAATTTGTACGAGTGCGGTCGTACGATTTAGACACCTCATAAAATGCATACGAATCGCTGTGAGATCGGATTGATCTATACACAGTATTTACCTCAATTACATCAGAAGTAACTGTAATTAAATTACAGATAAATGAAGAGTAATCCCTTACTTTACATTTTCAAGGGAAAAGTAATTAAATTACAGTAACTAATTACTTAGCAACTAATTAATTACTAATTACACCCAACACTGTTTCTAATCTTACTAAACATATTTACTACATGTATCATTATCTTAACATCAGTTAACTCTGATGTAATTGCATCAAATACTGTATATAGACTATAGAACAATATAACACCCTCTCCCTTTAAATACTTTGGTCAGTTCAAAAATAATTTATGCAGTTTGATATTATTTATTTGAAAGAATCACGAGTGCAGTTTCATATTTATGCTTGTATTGTTCAAATAGTTGAGGTTGATATGGGATTTAGAAAGTAATTAATTCCAAGTAATGCAATTTTTTTCTTAGAGAGAGTATTAGTAGTAGTCTTATTACACTGTTGAAAATGTAATTAGCAAGTAGTTTTCTTTTTTACTCAACTCTGTTACTAGTAACTATTGGGAATTTGATAGAAGGTATCTCTATATAAGACGAATAATATCTAATACATAAAGCTGTAATAGATACTAGTACATACTGGAATAAGGCGTACTAGTATCATCTAATTAGTTATAACTTGTAAAAAAAAATGCAAGTCACCATTGCCAGTAACAAACACCATACTAGTTTAAATACTTCCTACAAACATAAATGTTTTGTCCTAAATCATTAACGCTAAATAATATTCTCTAGATTAGCTTATCTATCCGGCTACTGACAACATTTTCTCTCAAGGTATTTACAGGTTTGGCGTCCTGTAGGCACATGTGCAGTCCTTGAAGCACGCCCGAGGTCACTGATCTCGCAGGAGCAAAACACCACATTCTTTTTTTTGTGTGCCCAGCAGTGCTGCTCTTTGACTTATTTGACCATATAAGGCAGGAGATACCATGGCAACCGTGGGCTTGAATAGCTGTGTCAAATCCCTCCGAACCCCCCCGCCCCTCACACACACACACACACACACACACACACACACACACACACACACTCCCTCACAGGCACGCGGCGCGCGCTCTCTACTGGACACTGGCTCACGCTCTCTCTTGTCCTTCTCAAGCCCGCGGACTTTTGCGCTTTCAAAAGCAGGTATGTATTTTGAAATAGTCCTGGGGTTTCGTCGCCGTTAACGACACGCTAGCTTATCATTCGAAGCGTCAAAGGTGAGCGGAAATAAAAACAGTGTTCGCCGAAGTCAGGAGTGAGGTATGTCGCTAAGCTATGGCTCCACCCCTCCCCCTGCTTGATGATCGCTGGAGGTTAGGCCGCATGTCTATTACTAGCTCTCATAAAAAAATAAAACAAGGAACAGGTCATTTTGTTTCGGATCACGGCGAAACCGTTATCACGAGCTTACGTTAGGGTTTCACCCGTTTCGTTTTTGATTTAAGTTACTCGTTCAGCGGCACGGTAACAGTTAGAGCGACTCCAAAAGTCTGTCCTCATTTCACAACAAACAAGCGCAGAGAGCACTTCCTTGAACAATCAGTACCGTGAACGAAGACGCTGCTCTTTATACCGAGATGTTTTTATTACTAGCACTAATTGTGTAATATCAGTTGTATGTTTATCCTGCTCTTCATTCCTTGGTCTGGCTAGGACTATTGAAATGTTAGACATTTTTGTAAAACGCATTGCTTATCTAACTTAGCTATTCTGGCTACAATCGTCAAGTGAAATTGTCAAAAAAATAATGTATAAACAAATGTGAGTAATCTGTATTATTTATATATTTAGTAAAGACCACAGTATATAGAGCAAAACTAGTTAAACTCTCAGGGTTTTTTGCTATCCTAGAAAACCGTGAAATATTCAGGAAATTTCTGTAATGTTAGGTAACATAAATGTTTTTAGTATTAGTTTCAGTAACAAAATAAAATTTCAGTAGCAATAGAAATTCAGTGGTCAGAAAGCATGTATTCTCTGAACTGCTTGATAAATAACAAGTGAAGAACAATGCCATGGTTTTGAGTAACTACTTTTTTCTTCACAGGTCTGTGATTGAATTGGAAACTAGCTTCCAAATGACACATTTTCCGAGGTGTGACAAAAGAAGCGGGAGCAAAAGGTGAATATGGTCAGTCAAGGAGGCAAATCAACATGCACAGCCTGCTGCATGAAGAACAAAGTTGACTGACTCAGACATTGACTGTCTGAGCCTAAATGTGTCAGACGAAGCCGTGGACAATTAGCAGATCTAAAGGCCTTCATAGCGTCTCATTTTAGAACACACAGCTGTCAAAAAAGGGGTCAACTGAAACTGTCTGTGCCAACAGCACGTTTGGGAGTATTTTTTCTCCTTGGTTGTGTTGAGAACTAAGCGATGGCCATGGTGAGAGGGGGGTGGGGAGATCCCAATGGGGAGACTAATGGACTTGGTGGTGACAAGGGTTACCTGAGGGGAGATGAGGACGATGGGTCACCACAAGGAGGCGGCAGCGACATGGAGGCCGGGGACGATGATAAAAGTTGTGTGGTGGACTGTGTGGTCTGTGGTGACAAGTCCAGTGGGAAACACTACGGTGTGTTTACCTGTGAGGGCTGCAAGAGCTTCTTCAAACGGAGTGTCCGGCGAAACCTCAACTATACCTGCAGGTAATGGAGGGAACTTCAGCTCTCTTTATGTACATTCAGGTTGATGTTTTCTGCATGTTAACTTCAGTCTGAACATAAAGCTTTTCTGGTGCTTTTCAGATCGAACCGAGACTGCCAGATTGACCAACATCACCGTAACCAGTGTCAGTACTGCCGTTTAAAAAAGTGTTTCCGAGTGGGAATGCGCAAAGAAGGTAACTGTCTATCCCGCTCGGAATGGCTTTCCGTCATTGTTTAACGCACACAGATTCATGCAACTGATCCACTTATTTGTCAACATGTTATAGAATATATAGTAGGGATGGGCATTTTTTTAAAAATATTGCATTTGAATATTCGAGCTCATAAAAATCAAAATTTGTTTATTTAAATGAAGTTTAACGTTTTTTTGTCACCATTTCTGAACAAGCTTACAATTAGGCAATATACACAACAAGCTTACAATGTTTTACTTGTTCAGATGACATTTTTCCGGTGAAAATTATTATGTTGGTCATATTTCCAAAAAGAATAATCTGTGATTCTGAATGACAGTATCCACACTGGCGCAGTGACTGACAGTTGTACACTCTCCTCAAACATTGTGTTCATCCACGCTGTGCCGTGTCGAGGGTGTTGAAGTACAACTCACGTGAAGTTGATAATTCTGCGAGTGACTGCAATTGCAGATTTCAAACGGAGATGGCGACAGAGGAAAAACTACAGACTGCAGCTTCAATTTATTCGTTTTCATTTGTAATATATTTTAAAATGTAATTTACACTGTTATGGCAAAGCTTAATTTTATTTGCATCATTACTCCAGTCTTTAGCGTCACATGATTCTTCAGAAATCATTCTAATATGCTAATTTGGTCCTCAAGTAAACACTATTATCTGTCAAAAACAGTTTTGTTTCTTAATATTAGACATTATAAATGTCTGCTGTCACTTTGATAACAAAAAAATTAATGCATCCTTTGTGAATAAAAGTATTCATTTCTTTTTTAAAAATCTTACTGACCCAAATCTTTTGAACAGTATTTCCTGGACCACAGGTGCTTTAACACTACTGAGTCTAGCGTAAATTATATACACAAATTGTGAGTTTGCAGTCTGAACTACTGAATGTGACTGGGCACCAAGAATTTATGCAAAGACAATAATCAGTCTTTTTACTGCATCGTTTTTACAGACTACATGCAAAAACAAGCAAACGGCACCATTAGTGTAGTCCAGTTTACAAGCATGACACTTAGGAACAGTTTCTTTTAATTAGACTCACAAGTTACTGGTTTTGAATCAGTCTTACTAGAGTAATGGGGTTGGTAAAGCAAAATACTGCAGGAAACACTGTTTTATATTTGATAGTTCGAGGGAAGAGAGAGCTGTACTTTATTTTAAGCTGACCCAGATGGTGTTTGTTTACCACATTTGCCAGTGCACATGATAAAACTTGCATTAGGGCCTGATGACCTATATATTTTAGGTTTTGCTTTTAAAATGAAGTGATCTTCAGCTGTATTGAGCATGTTCATTGCTCATTTATAAAGTCTCTGGAGGTTTGACTTAAACAGTATTTCCAGAGTGCTTGTGTAATCAGGAATTAGATGTTTCTAATCCCTTTAGATTCTCTGCAAGATGTTTCATGATGACAGTAAAAGAAAGGGCTGTTGGATAAGTCACCTATCAAGCATTTCAACTCCATCACGACTCTCTCCTTCTCTTCCCTCTCCCCCTTTAGCAGTTCAGCGTGGACGTATCCCACCTTCGCATTCGAGCCTCAGCCCATCTACGACTCCAGTGGGCGGTAATGCCGGGAGCGGCGTGAGCGAGTTCTACAACGGGCAGCCGGTGTCCGAGCTCATCTCCCAGCTCTTGCGGGCAGAGCCCTACCCCAACAGCCGCTACAGCCATCAATACAGCCAGCAGATGCAGGGGGGCGGAGGATCGGCCATGGGCATCGACAGCATCTGTGAGCTAGCTGCAAGACTCCTGTTTAGCACCATCGAATGGGCTCGAAACATTCCTTATTTCCCTGAGCTGCCTGTATCTGAGCAGGTGGCCCTTCTGCGGCTCAGCTGGAGTGAACTGTTTATCCTTAACGCGGCCCAATCTGCCCTGCCACTGCACATGGCCCCGCTGCTTGCCGCCGCAGGCTTTCACTCCTCTCCCATGTCTGCTGAGAGGGTGGTGTCCTTCATGGACCAGGTGCGCATCTTCCAGGACCAAGTGGAGAAGCTGACCCGCCTGCAGGTGGATACAGCAGAGTACAGCTGTCTAAAGGCCATAGCGCTCTTCTCACCAGGTGCGTCAGACACGATACTCGGATTAAACTGCATTTAACCGAACACAAACGGTTCAAAGAAGCTGCAATACATCTATGTCACATCCACAATGATAGAGAATAATAATGAGTAGTACCGACCGTCACTCGCAGTAACACATTTATGCAGGCTACAAATGCACACTTCACAAGATATCACAGCTGGATTTGAATAAAAAGAATGCCAGTCAAATTTCTAGTGTTATATTGGCGCCCTCTACTGGATAAGAGAAAATGTCTCTTTTCCTTAATGTTTCTTAGATGCATTTTGAAGCACCTTGAATAGCTAACATATTGTTAGGAATAAGACAAATTTATAGAGTAAATAAATTCATTATTTAGAACTTGTATATTCTTTCTTTCCTGTACTTTCTTGTTTTTATTTTGAGTTTAAAGGACAAGTCCGGAGCAAAACGAACCTTTGGTCTAATTAACACATTGGCACCGAGTCGACTGTTCTCTGGGATTTGTTTTCATGGTAATCGAATGTAAAGAGTTTTCTCTAAAAACTGTTTAGCTTAGAAAAAGTAAAAAGAAATCGCTAGGAAATAGCCCCACACTAACACAGTAGCCTGACAGAGATCGTAAACTAATGAAGACGGAGAATGTGGGTGAGCGCTGTGTGATCAGGCGCTTGTGTTCTCAGCGCAGCTCGTCAAAATAAAAGTCCCACTAACAACGCATCGGCCAATCCGAAAAACTTATCGGCTGATGCCGATATTTTAAAAATGCCGATATATCGGTCGACCACTACTTATTTATTTATTTGTGTAATTTATTTATTTGTAAAGCATTCTTGAAATTTCTCCAAAACTTGCTAGCCAACTTTCCCTTGGTGTTCTTTTAAGTTTCGGCAGACTGTGCAACCATATGTTTGTTACTAAAGCATAATAACAAATGTAACATATGACAGTGCAGCAATGGCACAACTGGTCATGACCTGGCCACAAAGTCTGATGGTCACCCTTCCACTATCCAAAATTGGCATACAATTGGTCATGAAACAGCTCTTACCCTCTTCTTATTCACACCCTATTCACTAAATAATCAATCAATGTATGTAATTATGTAATTACAGACTTAATTATTCATAACCATCCATTTTACAGATATAGTATTTCAAAAGTAATGTTTAGTGCAAAAATAATGGTTATTCTCACCTCACACTTGTAGTTTAAGTTAAATGGTCACATAGATTAGCCAATAAAAAAATTCCACATACACCTGTACTTATCCTTATTGTTGAGCCCTGCATCATACTTTACAAGTTGAGTTACACAAAATCTCCTATTACTAATATCTGCTGTTGCTCATGTTTATCTTTAGATGCGTGTGGGCTGACAGACCCAGCTCATGTGGAAAGCCTGCAGGAAAAAGCTCAGGTGGCCCTGACCGAGTACGAGCGCATGCAGTACCCTGGACAACCCCAGCGCTTTGGGCGGCTCCTTCTGCGACTGCCCGCTCTGAGGGCGGTGCCCGCCAGCCTAATTTCTCAGCTCTTCTTTATGCGCCTTGTGGGGAAAACGCCTATTGAGACGCTCATCCGTGACATGCAGCTGTCTGGCAGCTCCATCAGTTGGCCGTATGCTCCAGGACAATAATCATGATCAGATGTGACCACAGAACCAGTCTGGAAGTCTTGGTCTGATTTTTTTTTTTTTAACCACACATTCACATCTGATATTGACTGTATTCCCTAATGCAACAGGGTCAACTGGGTGAATTCAGTAGTACATTGCAGATGGTGTGATTTATGTTCTGTGAACTGTTTTATGAAGCCCAGAAGCATTCTTTAAAAATTACTTGAGAAATACTGGTTATCTGCCAGCCAAAGGTAAGATGTTAGGTACAGTTTAATCACCAGTTATTAGTTATTGCGTGGAAATTGGTTAAAAAACCCAAAACAACAAGCTCTCTCAGTTGGGTGTGAACATAAGTCACTTTGGACTGTCCCTGGAGGCACCAGGAAATCAAGTCACACTCATTCTCTGTTCTGCCCTGTCCTTGTGTACCAGAAAGCCTGAAGGAGGAGGAAAGAGACACAATGACATCCTGCCATCCAAAAACCCAAACAAATCAAACCGAAACAGTCTGAATTAAGACTTAAGCATTTGTTTTGTCAGTGATAACTACTTGGCATATGTATTGTTTAGCTCTTTTACCCTATCAATGCTAATGCGTTTCTTTGAGAGACTGAAATTGGCAAAAGCTGGTGCAAAGATTGGATTATGTTTTCCATTTGACGGAATATTTGTGGACTGTATTTGTACGTTGCGTTAAGATACAAACTTATATCTTGAAGAATTATTGATATTTCTATAACGCATTTGAGATAAATGACAGATGAAGTAGTCATGGCTTTTTTTTTTCTCCCCCAGATAGAAACCAGTGAACATTCTTCATGGAAGAGGTGTTCATCTACATGCATAAGACGCTTATGCTAAACTGGTAATAGTCACATTATGTATTGTCGACCAAAAGAAATACCTCTAGTCTGTTGAGACTCAAACGGTCTCTGTCATTCACGGCTGTGTCAGTGTATTTCAAATTTATCTACACACTTGAGCTGCTCACTTTACACTAAAGAGGAGTGATTGGATCTATCTGTCTGTTATGTTTGTTACGAAGGCTGTTTTTGGCAAGAAACTGGCACTTCCTGTTTTGTCTTTTGTGCTCTGGTGTGGCGTTTCACCGGTGACAGCATGTTGTTTTGGCTATAGTTGTGAGATGTACGTTTTCTAGCCTTCTCATACATCTGAATGACTAATATTACCTCATATTTAGGCCTTGAAACATATCAGGTGGTCTAATATACATAAACGCATCAAAACGGCAACATGTACAGTTTTCATTTTAATATCTTTGTCTTTTTAAATACTGGTGTATGACAGCTTGATTAAACAAAATTATCATACATTGAGTTGTGTACTTGTTTTGCCTGTTGCCTATCAAATTACAAAGGAAATGTTTCCTATCGAAGTTTTTATATTCAAATTGCAAAGATTTTTGAGGAACATTGAGAATATTTACAATACCTCTTGCAACTTGCAAGCTTATAAAAGCTCATATACCGACAGTAATGTATACATTGGACGTGTCGTGCATACATGTGTACAGTTTCAAACAAAGAAATCCTGAGGATCAGAAACATTAGTCTTCTCTCTCCTTGTAAAGCCTCTGTCATAAGTTTTCACTAGTTGCTTGATTTGACACAGTTCATGCCTTAATTTCTTACACCGGAGCTTCTTGGCCTGGTATTCTGGAGACTATGAGAAAGGATATGGGCATTAGGGATCTACAGACAAATACATAGCGACTAAAAGACCTGTTCACACCAAAGACAATAAGTATAACAATAAAAATATTTCTAAAAATCTTTCAAAATATAAAAGAGTAGTGAATTCAAGACAAATGTCCACTAGTGTGGATTCTAATATAGTTATTATAGTTCATATTTATAGTTATTGTTCTTGGTGTGAACATGCCTAGTACCTAATACTGATTTGTATTGAGAAATATTTTCTTTTACCCGCTTTAGATCCTTTAGTCGATTATATTCATCAGCTACAGCCTGTGATACAAAGACAAAAGATATGTGTTGTATTGAGTTTATATCATACTTCATACACCAAAAAGGAGTTTACACAGCAATACCATTGAAGAACAATTTTTGGTTAAATAATTCTTTTTTTAAAGGAGTAGTTTATCAGCAAAAATTTTGCTGATAATTTACTCACCCCCATGTCATCCAAGATATCCATGTCATTCTTTCTTCAGTCGAAAAGAAATTAAGGTTTTTGATTAAAACATCAATGGTAACCAAACGGTTCAAGGTCCAAAAGACAGTTTCAGTGCAAACTGTTCAAAGGGCTTTAAACGATTTCAGACGATGAATAAGGGTCTTTTCCTGATGAATATGGCGAATCTTTTTTTGTTGAATGAACCAAATAACACGAAAAAAGATTTGTTCATTTTGATAAACGAGTTTGAACAGGAAAGTCACGAACGAGCATCACAGAAAAGAGCAAGGTGACCATTTGAGGTTATAAAACTTAAACTTGTTATTTATTCTATTTAAATGAGCGATCGTTTCGCTTGATAAGACCCTTATTCATCGTCTGGAATCATTTAAAGCCCTTTGAACAGTTAGTTTGCACTGAAAGTGTCTTTTGGACCTTGAATCATTTGGTTACCAATTAAAGCTATGGTATACGATGTTAAAAATCGGTCGAGACGGTAGGGAAGTTTTAAAAAACTCATCCCGCCCCTCCACACACACACCCCTCCCCTCTGTACTACCTGATCCCTGACGTATGTCACGTTTGAGTTCACGTCAACGCAAGATTAGCAACACATGAAATGTTCTAAACTCCCCACCACCATTATAATACTACTAGTATTGCTAAGGTTTTCAGTAATTGTTATTGCAGCACGCAGCGCATCTTGTTAAAATTCAGATCGGCTCAAACAGAAACCTCGAACAAGAAATATAATTACTTTGAACCGCGATCGGCGATGCTAAACGGCTAACATTCCAATGCCGACCAGCAGCATGAGCAAGTTGTCAAACTGATAAAAAGCCACGTAACACGTCACACCATAAAAGAATAAATAAATGTTTACCTGCTCAACAAAAAGTCATCCGTGTCTGCGTCGTTTTCAGCCCCAGATCTCCCTGAAGCTTTCTCCAATGGTCAATGAAGGACGCTATATTTATCCTACTTAGAGTCCGTCCGGCGTTCTTCACATTTCTTTTTAAAGTCCCCGTGAACCGGAAGTTGCTAACGATTTTTCTCCAGTGCTGTGACGTATTTCCAAGTGAAACGGAATATTGAACAGAGGGCAGGGTTTTACTCTAGCGCTCCTCCTCTCCATCTCTCGCTCATAGCAAACTAACGGTTTGAGGGGAGTGGTTAAGCGTTTCCCCACCCAAACTGTGAAACCTACGTCATCAGAAAAAGAAACTGTTCCAGACCGGAAGTAACTTTTCAGAATTTGATTAAAGATTACTAAGGTAAAACAATTTTTTAATATATATTCACTTGCACGGATTAATTGTTCACCACAAGACTAGTAATACGCGCTAACAAAGTAAATAGGTTCAATTTTGATTTCACGGGGACTTTAATCTCTGATCTTTCCTCCACAGACTTTCTCTTGCGTCCAAACTTTACAGTAGAGGTAAGCAGGGGCCGCTTGCTGTTGTCGTTTATATTTTTATCCATTGCTTTATCCATTGCTGATCTGACGCTACTAGCTAGCTACCATAGACAGTCTGTCAGCTGTTTGCTCACGCACGGAGGGGGGCGGGGGCGGTTGGGTTGGAGACGCGAGTGCCAGGCGGAGTTTCAAGTGGAGCTCGTGATTGGATGAGAGCAGTTGACCAATATAAGCTGTGCGGCCGCACAGCTTACATTGGTCAACTTTTCTGCGGCTGTCCAGCCAATAGAGTGAATGGATTTTTTTTTTCTTTTTTCTATTCATATTGTTAGGATTGTACTATATAACCATAACCAGCATCTAAACGAGGATATTAATAATGAACAATCTTTGAAGTCGTATACCCTAGCTTTAAGTGCGTTATAAGGAGAAAAACCCTGGAATGTTTTCATCAAAACCCTTAATTTCTTTTCGACTGAAGAAAGAATGACATGGACATCTTGGATGTCATGGGGGTGAGTAAATTATCAGCAAAAGTGTTTTTTAAAGTGAATTACTACTTTAATGTTTTTTGTTGCCAACCTGGAACTTGGTGGACTCCTCATGGAGGGTGTCTAGCTCTTGGCTCAGTTTACTCATTTGATCACTGATATCATCCATTTCTGCACAAAGGTTCTTGTAAACAGCGAGGGTGACATCAAACTGTTTCTTGTACTGTCTGCGCTGTTCATCTGTTGAAATTTCTGAATAAGAGCTGTAGCATAAAAACAAAAGTCAACAAGTAACTAGCTATTTTCCAAAGCATTCTGCTCTTAGAAAAGTAATCAGGCTTTTCGAGCAGCACAACATGAAGGATAATTAAGAAGAATTCCTGACGGAAACTCACTCCTCCATCTCATATGTGTGTAATTCAGTGGCTGAATCTCCACCAGTGGTATAGCCTGTCTCGCAGAGAACATCCTCAACCTCGTAGGTTTCCGGTTTCTCTTGCACTGAGCTGCTTTGCACCTCAACCTCCTCCACAGGGCTGGAGCTCATCCACCGATTCTGGTACAACGGCTCCGAGGAGCAGCTGTTCACGTTCTCAGAATACCTTTAAAACAAAATCCGACAACATAAAACTAGTGTGCATTTGTACTTTGTAAGAACATAAAAATGAAAGCAGGCCGCACTCACACGTTGCTTTTGTATGCAGCCTCGCTGTAGACGCTCACTGTTCCCTCAGTGTAGGAGGTGAAGCTGTTCTCTGCTTTCAGGTGAGGGGAAGCCTCTGATAAAACCACAGTGGGGGTGTATTGAGTGTTTCGCTGCAACACACCATGTGTAAGTGTTAATGGAGCCAGAGAATTAAATCAATTTGAGTCTGAGTCTAAAACTACAAAATGACCCAAGCAACAAAACGGGAAACGAGACCAGACCGGAGGACGGTCAGAGATAACATCACAGATGTCTCTGAACAATACTGTATCTTAAGAGACCACTTGAGAAGTTGTACATCACACAATACACTGTAAATCCATCACAACACAATTATCCCACCCTCGTGCACAAGCATGACTTCCTCAAATGAAGTGTAATTATTATATCTTTCAGGAAACACTTGAGAGCTGTACATGGCACTGCCTGTTCAAAAATACCTGCGTATTGTCTTAACAATGTGGCTGACAAACAACATCTGAGGTCATTTCTAGGAAAGTCACTGCATATTCCAAGTACTTGGAATAACCTCACAGTGACCCAAATAAAATAAACTCTTGGATCTGTAAGTGTCTTTTAATGAAAAATGTGTTATGTACAGTATATTATGTCTTTATTTCCCATAATTACACCAGATCGCAAGTTTAGGTCTACATTTAGATGAAAATATAACTCAAGGGTTATGCTGTATCCGTAAAATCAAAAAAAAAAAAAATCCATTAAATCTCTGCCTATATCAACCATATGTAACTGGTAACATGACTGTCGAGAGGTCAAGTCAGTATTCACTATGAAGATAGTATCACAGCTATTCTCTTCTTCAGAATCATTGTAAATCAGTGAATGATTAACACAAAAACAATGCAGATCATGTGATTGGTTTTATAGTATGGCAGTAGTGGTGACTGGTGGTCACAGGTTTAGGCTGCACAATATTATATAAATAATATGGTCCACAAATTCAATTTGTTAAACCTTCTAAAAATATATTACCATAGTAAAAATAAATAAATGAATACATTTATAAATTGATTAAATTAAAATATAACATATTTTAAACTTTAAGAAGAATTCTGAATAAACTGCACAACTATTTTTATCTGTGCTACTACTATGAGCAGCTACAATGATTTCTGAAGGATTATGTGACACTGAAGACTGGAATAATGATGCTGAAAAATCAGCTTTGCTATCAGAGAAATAAACCACATTTTAAAATACATTACAATAAAAAGTAATTTTAAATTCTAATTATATTTCATAATATAACTGTTTTACTGTATTTTTTATCAAATAAATGCAGCCTTGGTCAGCATAAGCCTTGGTAACAGATTTTGCTTTTATTTTCGAGGCAATTTTCTAATATCACAGATATTTAGCAGCCTATAGTAACATAAGGCATAAGACAATTAAATAATAAAATGTTCAACTTTAAATTGTGAATAGATGATTGATGCAAATACAGTCCACAGATTACTGTATTTATTCACTGAGTGCGTCTTGTGGATTTTACTCACCCAGTCTTGTGAATTGTGGCTCCTGTCTGTTTTGAGGATAGGCGGTTCCTCCCAGTAGATATTAGGTTTGCCATGATGCCATATTTTGCTTCGAGTCTTATAGGCAAAATAGGCTGCAACAGCCAGAGCAATCATGACAAACAGCCCACAAACCAGAGCCACAGCCTAAAATACAGAAGAAACACTTGTTTATTAAAAGATTCATGTTGTATTCATGTGACACTACACTGCAAAAACAATTAAAATAAATAAATAATAAAAAAATATATATTACTTAATATTTTTGACTACTTTCATAGTATAAATCTAAACATTCTTCAATCAAGATACATTTATTTGACAAGTATTAACGGGATAGTTCCCCAAAAATGAAAATTCTGTCATTAATAATTACTCACCCTCATGCAAAAAACACACACACCATAATTTACCACTTTATTAAAAAATATGAATCTCTGTTTAAAATTAATATAGTAAATAAAGATTAATTATGTTTTTGTTTTTGCGCCAACAAAGCACTGGTCACTTCATAAAATTATAGTTAAACCACTGGAGTCACATAGATTAATTTTATGTCTCTCTGGGACTTGAAAATGGTAGTTGCATAGCTGTCAATGGAGGGTCTTACATGTTCGGAAGTTCGGAACGACATGAGGGTGAGTAATTACTGACAGAATATTCATTCTTGGGTTAACTATGCCTTTAAGCCTTGCTTTCTGAAATAAATTATCAAACTTAAGTGAGTTTACTTAAAACAAGAAAAAAATATCTGGCAATCCATGAGGTAAGAAAAACAAACATAATTGAAATTCAAGATTGATTTTAGAGTAAGGTAGATATTTGATAATGTTTTAAGCACAGTCCCTTCTTTCAGAAAAAAGTCTTATCAAGTAAATGTACATTAAGTTTAGAAAATATTTTTTCCCCCATTGTACAGTGAGAATTACGTGTTGTCAGACTGACCTCCTCAGGATCCATGAAGCAGTAGTGATAGAGATATCGATTAAAGGATGGATATGCACCCGGGAAGCCTGTGCCGACTCCAGCGCTGATGCTGGGATTCCCTAATGAGGTCTGACACATCATCAGGATCGGGTTGTACAAGATACTTTGTGAACTCTGGGCCATGGGATTCACCCCGATGACGAATATGATGTCTATAATACACTGAAGAATCGCCAGAACCACGTCCACCACAAAAACCGTCAGGTAAAACGTTTTTCCACGCACACACCATAACTTTGAGAAACTAACCACTAAGATGGCCAAAGATATTACAAAATTAAGGGCTGCCATTGAGATCATGGCTGACTTTGCCGAGTAGGGTGTCATGTAAGAGCTTTGATAGCCATATGTTCCTCCATAATACCCAGACCCCATGCCATAGCCCCCAGATCCAGCAACATAGGCCCCGATACTGCCCTCGTAGCCATGCATATCCCAAACTAGAGTGGAAGCAACACAGGCAAAAATAACAAAACAGAGCAGAGCTGTCAGTCCCTCCATAGTTTTCACGATGCCAGGTGGAGAGAACCATCTGTAGAAGTGCTGAGGGTTTCCCTCCGTTTGAGGAGCATCAGGCACTGACGAGAATAAGCCAAACTCGCTCCTTTGAGAATAGACACTTCTGGGTGTGTACATATTTGATGGGGCAATGTAGTGTGGACTGTACTGAGGTGGGCTGTCATACTGCTGTGTTTCATACATGATTCATGAGAATCTGAAAAGAGAAAATGAGATCAAATTTGGATTATCTGGGTACAGTGCTATGCCAAAATGAATCTTTTTCAGGCAAAGAGCCGCTGTCCTTTATTGTTTCACATTTTAATCTCCTAAAACTACATGTATATGGATAAATAGCACTCTTATAGTGGTATAAGAAGAGAAATTATTGTTAGTTAAAAATATAAAAATATTTGAATTGAAATAAAGCTAAAATAAATTAAAACTTAAAGTTAGAAATGTTGCCTACTTGCCTTGGCAACTACCTGAAATAAGTTTAAGTGGAAGTATGAAGATGATTAAAACTAAAATTGAAATAAAAATATAGAATTAAGCACTCATATTAAATATTAAAATGTAAACTTAAAATCTAAAAATATAATTTATTAATAATATAGTATATATATAAATAGTATATAGTTTAGTAGTATATAAATAGTAAAATAACACTGAGACCACATTTCCTCTCAACACTCATCTGCTGCCCTCAATTTACATCCACATATTCTCAATTATAAGTGTGATAATTTAATCCCATTTATAAAAGTAATAGTTCTGGTGCCCAGTCATCACTTGATTGATCAATACTGTGCTCCAATTAAACCCGCACTTGAGAAAGTGATATCGCTTTTATATAACATGTTCAATAAGTTGATATTTATCAACATATATTGTAGACACAGTATTGCCATTTACTTATTCTATTTTGCGAAACTATTTCACAATAAGACAAAGCATTAACCTGTCTCCAGAGCTATTCACAGCCTAACATAATCGGTAAGTGTTTTTTAAAAGAATTAGTTTAATGAATGATTCAGTGACTATAACTCATAAAAACATTCACTTGTTCTGTTTCTGAATGAATGTGCTCGAAGGAATCATTAGAATGAATGATTCAATGACTCACTCATAAAGACAGTCACTTGCTCAATGTAACCTGCATCACTACTAATACACAGACCAACAATCTAGAACATGCAAACAAAGACAAGTATACAAACAGCTAAAAGTATACATTTTATCACTTCATTTGTTTCCTGTGATTACAAATGTACAATTGTTAGCACAGTTTTACTCCTAGAGCTCCAGGAACATTTAAGACGGAACACACCTCTTTATAGCACAAACATCACTCCCTTCATCAGGCTACTGTAATTCAGGCGAGATGCTCTGAATAATTCAGAGAAACATAAACAGATGCAGCCATTGGTGATTTCATGCTGTAAGTTTTCTTCACATTTCTTTTGCATCCCCGAAGAGCAATTCACAACCATTGTATGTGAATAAAAGAGGTAAGGAGTTGTACCGCTAATCGCAATATTTCTAATACCGTACCCTCTTAGTTAATTATGCTTTGGAGAGAGGGTGAGCTCCACACCTGTGGTAACTTGAAAAGAGTGAATAAATAATTCAAGAGCTGAAACTCAACCTAGCAGCTTCATACAGCCTCACAGGTGCATGATGAATGGGCAGCTATTCTAGAATAAAACATTTTTTTTCTTTTTTTTTTTTTTAAAGCAGGAGACAGCATTTTTTTTGCAACATTAAATATATTTGTACAACTTTCCTCCTGAAAATAAACAGCTATTATTTTAGATTGATCCGTCACAACATCTCATCGGTGACATCGGAAGATTCAAAAAGTACTAGGAGATCAGTGTAGTCAGTGTTTTTGTACTGAATACAATCCAACTTAAAAGAAGTCTATCGTTTTGCAGTAAATAAATGTTGCATAAAACATTACGTAACTTACCGTAACACGGTAACAGCCACTGATCTTTTCCTTGTTTTCCTTAGTCCAGCTTTTTTGTCAAGTATTGTTTAGTGTTGGAGCTTATCCGTTTGATGTGAATAGCGGTGACAGCTGCTGCTCATGGTGACTTGTGTGGAAGACCTGGGCCTGAAACTCTAAACCAGTTGCTACCGACACAATCAGTCTTATTGGCTCCTCAGTGGGTCGAAAGTTAAGGTGGATGAAAAGCTGAGTTAATGATTGATAATCTTCTGAAGTGCTTTAAAGCAACAGTCTCAGTCTGATTTCAGGCCATTTTGTTTTCTATAAAATATGATTGATTTACAAATTGATATTACAATTTTAAGAGCATAAACAGTTAACAGTAAAAAAAAATAATATAAAAAAATCTGATCTGTGAAAGTAAAGTTTTTGAATTAGTTTAAGCCAAATGGCCTTATTTCTTTTTGTGCAATTTATACACATAATAATAAAATAGAGGAATTTTAATCAATAAATAATATTTTAGTAATTTAGTATTTTAGTAATTGCTGTCCTTAGAAATGGAATCAAGTGGAATCAAAATCACGAATCCTCATCTTGATGTGGCTTAGTTTTGCTTTTAGATATTCACACCGTTCCTTCTTCTCCAGAAAGTAAGGATCCTTGGGGAATTACATAAGAAGTTAAAATTAACAACAATAAATTAGGCTCACTATTCTCACTTAGTTTTTGAAGCATTTTAACTCAAGAGTTGACTTACGTTCTTTTTTTGCTCATATGTTTTCAGTAAGCCATTGATTCTCTTTCTCTCCTAAATAAAACATCCACAAACAATTGAAACAACTTGTTTGAATTGTCTAATAAAAGACAATCTAGAGGACTCTAATATGACGTCTCACTCTCACCTCAGGGTTTCTCTTGTTGTTGAAGAGTCGGCTCATCGTGGTGTCTAATTCCTGAAACTTCATTAAAGTGGCTGTGATCTCTCTGTGCAGTTCCTTGTACTCCTGGTATTGGTCATTAAAGACTGCTTTGTATTGCTCTCTGTCTTCTATTGAATGAATTTCAGGATATTTTCTGTTTAAAAAGAAATGTAAAAATACAATAAAAATCATAGAATCTTGAGATAGGTTTGATAAGTCTACACATAGTGCATTTCAATGTAAATACCCAGAAATAGCAGCATGAATCAAACAGCACCACACTACACATTATCCATAAAGTTGTTAAAAGCTCCTTTTAAGGATGTCTACATAAACAGTTGATTTTAAACCATTTATAACACTTAATAGGGCAATCACCTGTTAGGTTTGTTTGTCCTAAATATATCATTTATTTTCATTAGACCAGAAATACACAATAAAGGATACTAACATTACAAAATCAGCGATGACTCTGGGTTTAGGAATGTGTCCAATTGGAATAACTCCAGTTAAAATCTTTCGCTCTTCAGCTCTCTCTGAGACATTAGCCAGCCTGCTCTCATTCAACAAGCTTTGATCCGTTTCATCTTTGAATGAAATTTTCTTGGATCTAGTAGAGGAGCTGCCCATATTGGATGTGGATTTCAGAGTCTGCTGCTGTAACTGAAAGATAACAGCCATTGCAATTAGTACAATTGTCTTGATAAGAATAGTGAGAATTTTGTGAAAACTGAAAATTTCATTTATGTTAGTTAAAAGTAAAGCAAAAACCGTGATCACTAAGCGTTTTGATGAGGTTAAAAACCATACAAACGTCCCAGTAATTTATTTATTTTAAATAGTAAACAACATCTATAGTGTCACATGATCCTTAAGAACTCATTTTATTATGCTGATTTGCTGCTCAAGAAACATTTCCAATTATTATCAATGGTAAAAACATCTGTGCAGCTTAATATTTTTGTGGAAACCGCAATAAGTTGTTTAGGGATTCTTTAATTTGGAAAAAAAATAACGTTCAAAATAAATCTTTTGTGACTGTAATAAATATATTTTGATCAATTTAGTTTTTTTTTTCTTGCTGCCCCCACACTTTTGGGCAGTAATTTAAAATGTGCATTTACCTTGCTGTTCAGCTGGCTGGTCATGGCCTCCCTCTGACGGCGGGTGGCTTCATGCTTCCACATTTTAAGGCATGCCAGGAAGCTTATCAAGTACATGAGCATGTTAATAAATATAAACGAAGTTCCAGCCATCTGACCCCCCTCAACACGACACAGATTAGACAGGATCGGGTTGACGCCAACCGTCATGAAGCAAAGCCCACCACGATTCAAATCATTCAGGTAGACGATACCCGCTGCCATGTACAACAACGAAAGGACTAGGTTCATAACAGCCTCGGTGAGAGGCCACCATTTGGAATCCAGAAGGATAGTCCGATAATACATTGTAAATCCCAAAACCATCAGAATAACCGTCAGTATCCATGAGAGTCCAACAATGACCAACACAAAGGTTGTCATGGGTCCAGTATAACGGTATCCTTTCACATCAGTGAATCCATAATTTGGCCTGTAGTAGTTTGACCACTCACTGTCTCTCTGAATATATGCACATACACAGGCAAAAACCATCCCACCAAATAGAAGTTGAAGGCCAGCGAGCAGCCTTAAGAGGCCAGGCCAAGACTTCAGGTAGGAGTATTTTAACTGGTATACTTCTAACTTCTCAGCGTAGTACTCTGCTGGGTGGATACTGGTCAGTTCAGATTCGAGGGTGTCATATGTGTACCCCACTGAACCTGGGGGGAAGTTTGGCTTGAGGTCACCAGAAAGCGCATCTCGCGCATGCCAATGATTTCTGTCCAGTGATGGAGATACAGGCGGACTACATCTTGTGCCGTTAGGTAGTATTTTAAACCCCCCTGAAGATGTTGAAAGTGATTCAGAATCAGCCTTATTCCATTTCTTCAACATACCAGTCCATGGTTTCAGAAAGATGCTTTTTTTAATCTCCTCAGCTTCCGTGTTTTCCTTCTGCTTGGCTGAACTGCCCTGATCATGACAAGAGAAGCTTGAGTCCTCATTGTCTTCATCGAGAATTTTTGTAGGATCCTCCTCCGCATGTGCTCTGTTGAAATCTTCACTTTGAGATGAGACGTCATCTGAATATAATCTACTGATGTCCGTCATTTTGCTGTTGCTGGTAAGGAAATCAGGGTCTAGTAGGCTACACAGTCATCTTAGAGAACTCTATCAAACTAAGAACAAGACCTTTTTATTGTTATCAAAATTGAATGAATTGTGAATAACATAACTTTTGTCTATGTTGTGTTTGAGAAGCTGCTGTAAGCATTTTAGTAATCCAGCCCAACAGCTTCACAAACTAGACTTTGCTGATGGTCCTTTCAGCATGTCCGGTTAATAGTTTGCATTCGAAGTGCATCGAGTACATAAACATACTCGTATACAAAACAGTTTCCGGTCAACTGTAAGCTAAACGTTGCTATCTTAAGCATTTGTTCTGTAAAACATCAGACAAACAACAAGAAGAATGCTCACCTTGTTGTGAGTACAGATTTGCTGTTAGTGAGTATATCATGGCTGTGTTAAAATGGCTTCAGAAAGTAAAAAGTGAGTCAGAGGCACTGGCAGGAAGCCGGAGAGGAGATTAAACATTAAACCTGCAGAGGCCAAGTCTGGTGACAGACACAGGCTGACATTCAACTACCCGCTGCAGCCAATAATGTTTCCCCACAGAAACTGGACTTCATGAAACGAAGGAAATGATCCAAAACGATTGATATTATTTCACCGGAATCAAGTAACTACTTTAAAATGTATTATTAATCGTGTCGTGTTTTGCCATCGAGTCTTTTTCTGTTACTCACCACCTAATCACTAGAGGGCAGTAGAGTATTGACCACAGCATAGCTCCTCGTGCATCAATGTCCGGCAAGCTACATTTGGCATTTTAAATAATGGATATGTTTTGTTATTTGTGTTGTCTGTAGAATAATTTCACTCCTCCCATATGAAGAAATGCATACGCTGTCACAGTCTCAATGATAGTCGGCAGGAAAAAGTTGCACAGTTATACAGATTTTTCATGTGAAGTTAAGCAGTCAGCCCATTTACTGTGGATGTTGCTTTGCATTTGGTTACTACAAGGTAACCGACTATATTAATTTTTAAGGGATGTAAACTCTTATGACTGTAGAGAAGGAATGCTTTATCAGTAATTTCGTCCTTTAACAGAAGTGACCATGAGGCCTGTGCATCATATATTTCATTACTCCTGTACTGATTTCACGTTTTAACCTCAAAAACATTAAAGGTCTAATAAAATAGAAATACTCATTAGATTAATAATAAAACATGATTTTTGTAAGCAAGATGCATGTTTGAATTGGTAACATTTTGGTAAATCCAAATGGTAAAATGGAAAGTCGTTGAACAATTTATAGTTCAAAAGTTAATTTAAAAATGTAAATACTCCTTTTCTGCTGCTCATATTGCCAGACTGGTGAAATCCTGTGGAGAACCAACTTTATGGTCCCTTAAATGTCCTATTATGTGCTTAATGAGTTCTATTACATGATGTCTCTTAAAGTCTTTTTAGGTTACTAGAGTCTTTCAACTTCTTGTAGAAACGTATGGACACTTATGTTCTCCAGAGGGTTTTGCAAATTTGGGAACCACAAATTATCAGAACACTTTAAATGGTATTCAGCTATAATTACATAAATTTGTATAAATGTCAATGGCCGTCAATCTTACTGTGTTCTGTCAATAATATGTCTGAATTCACCTTGGAAAATTGCCTAAGGGCTTTTTTTTTTCCCAAGACAGTTGCCTGAGGTTTATCTTCAATCCTCTTCAATTAAATGTTTATGAGGTCCGCTCCACATGTTAATGGGCATATGTCTTACTCTCACATGCTGTCATTACTAACTTGATGTGGCCCATTTTCTTCTCTCTTTTGGGATTGTCTCGAATGTCCCTCTGCACCATTCTCACACTTCAAAATCTAGGTCTGCCTCCTTCACACATCAAACACATCAAGAATATATATTTATTTTTATGAGGCGTGATGCGTCGCATATTGACTTCATTGTTAAACATAATTGTGCTGGAAGTACAGTATTTTAATATCACGTAATCACAGAAGGCAGCTCTGGTAGGCTCCTTCATGTTTTCATCCTCATTTGAACATGTGCCACAACAATATCACAGTGCCACAGTGTATTTCTCAAGAATTTGATGTTTATTATCTGAAACATGGGCAGATTTTGTCCACACTGTAGCTCCTTGGGCTACATGTTAACAAAATAAGAGGATCTCAACATACGAGACCAAGATAACCCATGCCTTTATGTACAGTCAACCTGGGAGGATACAAAATGCAAGTCTTCTCTCCGTATTTAATCATTCACAGGTATTTCACAAAGAAAGGCAATTAGGAAGAAAAAAAAAACAAGAAAGAAAATTTAATCATGTAATCCAATAAAATACGTTCTAGTGATTTAGTGTCCCCATCTACTTGTGTATGCAATTTGACATCAGAAGACATCCGAGTCTTACTTCATAATTGGCACATTACAACATTTAGACTGTGTTGACAGTGAAAGAGAGATAAAGGCATGAACAAGGGTCATGGTCATGTCGTTAAAAACCATGCAATCATAAAATTATTTTTGATTTTAATCAGGATCTAAATTGCACTTGATTTTGGTCACCAACAGCAGCTTAAATATTAAAGCAGTCTGTTCCTCTATTTTTGTCTACATTATGAATTGAATGTTACGACTGGCTTTCTCAGTTCTTTAATCTTTGTTCTATCAAAATGTGCTAGAAGTGTCAAGTATGTTTCAACAATGAAAGCTGTGAGAATTCTCCGTCCTCCCCCCCCCCCCCCCCCCCCATTATCCAAGTTTTCAGTTTAAATGCAGTCATTTCTGTTTGGCAAAATTGCTAATTTTAGGTATCGTTTGTACACAAGAACAGAAATACACAAGACCTAAACGCAGTATTGACAAGACTGAAACAAGCTAGATAGGAGTTGTGATGATATGGTAAATTATGTATCTTTTTCTCATTTAATATTTTTTAACAAATGCTTTACAAGCAAATCAGAAAAAAACAAACATGCATTAGAAGTATTTTGGCAAGAATTTGGCTTCAATTTGCACAAAGTCTGTGTCTTTGAGTGTGTAAATACATTTCCATGTGATCATATGCTGTATAAAAACATACGTTTTCTTAAATTAAATGTATTTAGACTTTGGTTAGGAATATAATGTCTTGCAGAATAAAAGTCTAATAAAAATCTAATGATTTATAAATATTAAATCAAGCACAAATAATTAATACCCCATTTTTGCCTGATCTTATATAGGTTTCTCCAAACAATCAACATTAAATAGCTAAAATAATGTTTAAATTCATTAAACGAACTAAATTGAATAATAAAAATAAAGCTTTTCTAAAGCAAGTTGCAATGGGATGGTTTGCAGTCATTTACCGTTGGTTCTAATCGGTGACAATTACATTGTCAAACACATAACATTGTCAGTTGCTTTAAGGTTATGCGATTATTTAAAACCATAGATGTGAGTAAAATACATGTGAACAGGAGAGACAGATTTTTAATCTAAGCTGCCTTAACGGTATATTTTGAAAAGTGCAAATGTGAGCCACGATAATGTTCTCCATCTCTTACTGCTCTATCAGATGTATTCTCTCAGAGAAGATCTTCTCATGATTATAGAAAGATTCGTCTAGTGTTAATCCTATTTTTTACTGATTCATCAATCGCTTGGTCGAGAAATTCATTTAGGTAGAACAAGGAATGCATTTAACAAACATAACCACATTACTGCACCGCTATATTTGCAACTCTAAAAATACTATCCAACGTTAAAAAGGAATCTCTGTGTAAAAAATAAATGAAATAAAACGAACACACACACACACACACTTTTGAAAAACCATCCATAATCCATTCGTCACATTTGCACTGAAACATGCAAGGTTTAAATCTCAGTCCTGTCATACATTTGTGCCTATACCACAGCATTAGCACTCAGTGCTGTCATTTCAAAATCAAAAATGCAGCCTTTCGGAAATGTGAAGACTTCTGGAAGCTCAGATTTCATTAAAATGAAGAAAGTGTTACCAGCTTGAGTAGAAACAATTACTTCTTGTATTCCTTCCTTCCTTCAATTCCTTTTTCCCTCCTCCCTTCCTTTCTGTCTTTCCTTGCTTTTCTAACTGATGGAAGTATTGAAAGGCTTTGGAAAATAAGAGAAGACTGCGACAAAGTTAATGGTATTTGTTAAGACAGACGAGTTAAATGTCTTCAAGAGGAATGTATCTGAAAAAGGAATGCAATGCTTGTGTTTACATTGTACAAAAACTCGCTCCAAAATTTGTAAATGGACAACCCTCCACAATCTATACATTCAGGCACTGAAAAAAATAACATGCCAATTTGTAACTAAAAAAAGGTTAGTTGCACCCAATTTCCCTTAAAGGAGCAAGGGAACTGAATCCTTAAGGTTGGCATTCCTGCATTATTCTACTCAGTAGTAAGGTCATGTGCTCCTCCGTCTCCAGCTGAACGCTGAAGTGATCGCAAAGCACCCAGAAGCGCTCTCGGTGCTCATCCTGGCACAGATGTCTTATAGGACCAGTGAATCTCTTCTATGTGGGTGCGACGCTCCTTTGTGGTCTACGTTGGTTTACCTTCCTGTGGACCCCATGATGTCGCAGTTTGAAGGACCAGTTTCCTGGACTCGCTCTAGCTTCCTGAACTCAGTCTTGTAAATATATGAGGGCTTTACAAAAAAGCTAACTTGAACAGCCATACAATGGCTAAACATAAACCATATATCTACTATTTTTGAATTCTTCTCTACTTATTAATACGAGTCCTCAATCTCGGCTTGATCATCTTACGTGATTAAGTCTGAGACCTTTGGAAGCGGCGTTGGGGTCCGGGTCAGCGTTAGCCACTGTCAGAGGAAGTGTGCGGGGCAGTGGAAGGGGAGCGCCGCCGTCTGGAGGGGGTCCAGGAGCGTTCTGAGCCCAGTGAAGTGGGGCGGAAGCGGTGCACGAAGCCATCCAGGAGGTCCTGCTGCTGCTGAGTTATGGCTTGGGAGATCAGACAGGGCAGAGCCTGCAGGCTGCCGGTGACTGCGTCCAGTTTGTCCTCCAGCGTGCCAATACGCTTGTCCAGCTCCTCGCTGCGTTCCTGAAGCTCTGACACCAGGTCATACATCACATTCTGGTCTAAAAGAGAGCACAGAGAAAGAGTGAGATTGAATGAAATCACTCAATATCAACCCATCCATCCATTTAGTCCTACATCTTATTTAGTTGAAATATTTGGTTTCCCTTTATTTTGATAGTCCCGTTTGAACATTCTGTTGACTATAATTAGCGTTGCACCTACATGTCTACACACGGTGCGTTGATCCCGGGAAATTGCTGGAAAATTGCCAGAACGCCTTCTGTGTGAACGCAAACACGACCCGGGATTGATACCGGCATCGATGCCGGGTTGGGGACCTAGTAACATTGCCGGAATCAGTCCCGGAACACGCGCTGTGTGAAGAAAAGACAGGACCAATGCGGTAAGGGGTGTGTCTTAAGCCCCTTTCACACAGAGATTCCGGAAAATACACGGATAATGTGACCCGGCATTCGTCCTGGGATTGTTTGATTTCGGTTCATTCACACTGCCATTGATTTGCCGGGATCTGTGAGTGCGTTCACACACAACCCGTAAAGATCCCGGAAAGACACATGACGTCAGGATGAGACGTGTAACGTACATGTCGAAAACATGTACACGCGCATACC